TCTCTTTCTTTTGGCCCTGTTGGCTTCCAGTATTTGGACATCTTGTAATGCCCAGGTCAAAAGAGAGTTTCGTTCTGACCAAAATGTATTTGCCACAAATAAAAAAATCCTTATCTACTTTCTTTATAATTTATTTATTTGATTGTTTATCTTGATTCATACTCAAGGACAATAAAAGGATGTTGAGTTGTTGTGAAACCAGGGCCATAAGGTGTAGTCATTAGGTGGGGAGCACCCTAGAATTGACCTTAAACATGGGCTAGGTCTTACTATGCTGCCACAAACTGATGCTCTTTGCTATGGTTGCCATTCATTTATTCAGTACCAACTAAATTTCAGTGACATTTTTTAGGTAATTAATCTTATGCATGTGTCATATCAGTGGCCTTTTTTAATACATTTGCTGTGGAAAAAAGGCAATCTGTATATAAAGTAGCTTTTTACCACCATTTACCAGTTTAATATCTCAGATTATTTCTGTGTACACTTCAGTAGTGCATAAATAAAATGTGCCAACTCTGGACCTTTGCTTTCTTTTCTTTTGTAGCCTAGGTCAGCTAGCTTCAATGGCTGGAATTGACATGTCAGATTTCCAGCCTCCGGGAAAACCTCAGCTCTCCTCCACTATAGGACCAAATTTGGGTATTGCAGCATTGCTGACCAAAGGGCGGTATCAGGATGTTCAGGCAAAGACTAATACTTCCTCTTTGGTAAGCGTATAAAAAGCAAAAAATGTTTGTCAGTTGTATCCTATTAATAACTTAAAAAGGGTAATTTGTTACTCAATTTTTCCTCATCAAACTTTCAATTTCTGTCTTAAGGAAGCCCACGTCCTGCCTGCTGCCCCTGGTAGGCCGGCTGACACCACTACTTCCAGATCACTATCCTCTGTCAGGGATGACAGGCCACTAGATGTGACCTTCGATCAGCCCTCTGGACCTGCAGGTGACCGCGGTGCAGGTGGAGAACTGGAACCAGATAAATATTCAAAGCCCGATACCCAGCATGACTCAGGTTCTGAGCACAGTTTCCGTAGCCAAAAATCCTTTGATATGGTTTACTTTGGTAAAACTTTTCAGACTCAACCAAGCCACCTCAAGAGCAACAGCAACTCTCACAGAAGCAACGGTTCCCATGGATACAGCTTCAACAACAGCTGGGCTCACAGTCAGTCTTCCCATAGCAACGGGTCTCACGGTGGATTGTCCGAAAGGTCGAGTGTTAGTGACTTTATAGGTGAAAAGGCAGAGTCTGTGGGATCAGTAGGATCAAGGTACAGGGGAAAGGGGAGGCTAGTGACAGTAGGTCAGTCAGGGTCAGAAGGGTCAGACTATCCTGGAAGGGACACTCTGGAGCAGGTCAGGTCTCTAGGTGGTCTAGGAGGGCAGTCAGATAATGAATCCTTCTGACCAGCTGACCAGAGTAATATAAAAAGCTCTGTCTCTAGGTGTCTGTTCTTAGTGCCTTCTCCTTAAAGTGCTTTGTGTTACTTCTTAAGACTGCAGATTTTATAAATCTTTTTTAATTCTAGATTTCACTCTCAGGTAATTCATTTTAGGGAGTAATGGAGTAGTCAAAGCAGAGGCAGAGTTGTTTCTCTAACCTGTTGTGTGTAACTAATCTGATGTGTGTCACTGGTCATTAAAGTAATGTGTCAAATGTGTCAAAAAATGCAATATAATGTATATTTTTGTAAAGCGTCAAGTTTTTTTGCAGACACGTTTTGCACTCGGGGCATGTACAGTATAACAGTTTCATACAGTAAATTAGATAATAGGTATTTGGGTTTCCAAGCTAACCCTCCCCGCCCAAATCAAGTTTAAATGAAAATCCAGAGATCAAGTTCCTCCATGTGATCCTGTTTCATGTGAGAGACATCAAACCTTTGAGGTAAATTGAAGGGGAGCTTAATTTGCTTTAGTATATTTATAGGTTTTATATGTATTATATCCATTGTTCTTGTTAAGATATTCAAAATGTATGTATCTGTATGTTTTGAATAAACATGTTAACAATTAGCAGCAAGTTGTGTGTTTCTGAGCCTCTAAATGCAAAAAGCTGTCTGCTGCCACTCCAAAGTCAGAAATATTTAAACCATGGCAGTGCAAGAGTTAAAGTGCCCACTTCCTAATAAAATCAATATGCTGTGACACAGACCCTGAAAGGAAAGAAGTGGTTTATTTTTATTGTCAGAGCTGCTAGTGTTGCTAGAATGTTCCCTGTGTCAATGCACCCTGTCAGTGGGTGAAATCATGCCAGAAAAACCTTTTGGATCTGTGTCTACTGGCTTTTCTAGATGCAGAAACTATAAACTTTTTGGAGCATCCAAACTCTCTTAGCAGGACCAAAATCTGTTAGCTACATTTGAGTTGTTTACAGTCTCTTACGGTTGGTGCTGTGTCCTGAGAGACAAAGCAGTGGGACCAGAGTATGATTTTTGTGGGTTAGAGTAGGACAGAGTGTTCTGTGGGCGTATGCGTGTTTTCTGTTACAAGTGAGCACCAAACACCAATAAAAGCCAAAAGTGCAGCTCTTTTTGCAGCGGTCACAAGGAGTGCATAGAGAGTTCCATTTCTCAGTGTTACCTAATCTGTTGTACTCTCAGATGTCTTGTGGTACTTTTTCCACCTGTTTTGAGCAATACTTTAGAGACCGATGTAGAGATCTTATTTATTTGTTGTACAAAGATAGTTTTCGGTGTAAATGCTGCCATTTGTCACATCTTTATTTTGATTCGCTTCAGTTTATGTGTAGTTTATGTACAACTGCCAGTAACGTGTGCTGTGGAAGGTAATGTGAAACAGGAAAGAACAAGAATTACTTAAGAAGCGGGAACAGTTTCTTAGCTGTTGTATGTGCACTTGAGTGTACTGTGTTGTCCAGAGACAATGTGTGACAGCCGTCTGATGTTTGAGGTCATGATATGAAACAGTTTTCACAGTACAGATGAAATTTCAGTTCTCTCAGACCCACGGTGCAATCAGGCAATATACTAAAAAAATAACACTTTAAGGTAAAAAAGTATAAAAAACAAAGTATAAAAATATAAATAGTGCACAGTTATAACTAAGTAAGTGGTAATAGAAAAGACAAAATAAACAGTCAAGGGCACTTGTGGTATTTACAGGATAAAAATAGGATAAATTTCAATATATATTGCTGTATAATGGAGATTGCTATTTAAGTTTTGATGATTTTTCTCAACTTGTCTTACTGTTACACAATGTTTTAGCATTTACCAGCAACAAATAGGAACAAGGAAAGATAAAAAGTGAAAGTGAAATTATTTTTTATATAAACATATCAGAATGTAGGGGTTGCAGGAAAAGAGCCAGTGGCTTCATGGAAAGAACACTCTGATTACTAGTTAGCACACTCGGGTGTAGTGCTCCCTAATGCTCTCTTGCGATTTGAAAGTAGAAGTGAAGTTCCTCTTTCCAGTTTTTCCACCTCTGTGTGAGTGATGGTCAGTGCAGTATGTAAGTATATAGTTATCAATCAACAGTGTGGATTGAATAACTAAATGTGCAGAATATGGGCTTTATCACTCATGTAATAAAACAATGGTCAGTCATGCCACACAATGATAATAGTACAGCATGCTATTTCCTGTACGAATGAGTGTTTCACTATCAATGTACTGAGGCCACTTCGATAAGTAAATTATCAAAGCTCCTCCGCTTCTTTCGGTGTCATAGAAGATTCTACAACACTGGCGTATTGTTATCATCATAGGACACATTTCTAGACTCTACTTTGCACTTTCAGTCTCAGCGTTGCCAGAGCAAAGCAACGGGTTATGAAAACTGTGTGAAAATTGCTGTCATGTTTTATGATCTCTACCATAATTATAACTGCTCAACAGATATGGACACTACTGCAGCAGCGCTAACAGAAAACAGTGTGTTAGTTATGAAGAAAGCGTATTGAATAGGGTAAAAAAAACAAGTGGAGACAGTGTGATGGAGCTTTGTTGCAACAAAGGAAACACCACATGAAAACTGACAAGCTTCCAAATATTTCAGGGATCAAAATCAGTGGACCATTGTTGGTGCTGCAAGTCAAGCTTTCCTCTTGGGCCATGCAATATCACCAAAGGTCAACATCTACACTGAGAAAATTACATAATTTTGTGACTTACAGTAAGTGCATTCAAACTCCTTATGAACAACAAATACATGTCAAATAAAATGAAGGAAGCACCACATGAAAAATAAAAATAAAATGCAACTTGTGATGTAAAATATACAGGTGAGTTATATTAGCCTACAGTGTTCCAATGGCACTAAATGATCAGTGCATGAAAAACAGCAAATAATTAAAAGGAAAAGGTCATTCACATGAAAACAGACCATATGTAACACTGAAAACATAAAGGACGACAGGTTTTGTAAAGGCAATCTGTTATTTTATTCAAGTGCAGCGTATGTGTTATTCTGCAAGAAACAATAGCTGTCTTTTACTATTCCAGCAAATGACTAACTAAACTAAGATTAGACTTTATTGTCCCTGTGGGAAATTTGCCTTGGGCGTCACAGTGTCTACAGCGGGGGTCTCAAACTCAAATTGGCTTGGGGCCACTGCTGGTATTGTCATCTCATAGGAGGGTCCACTTCAGCGTCCAAGTATTACAAGAAAGTGTAATAGTCTAAAAAATATTTCCATTACTAATATCATACTTAACAAAGAAATGTAAACAGCAGTTTCTATACATTTTTTATCATCATCTTTGTTGTTCACAGCTTCGTACAACAAATGAAGGCCCGTAACCTGCACTGCTCAAAAGTCCAATTTTGTGCCAAATTCAATAAAAAAAATTAAATTTTGTTCAAATTGATATGAAACAACTAATGCAATAATCTTGCAGGTCAGATACATCCATCCATCAGTTGCACATGCCCATCTTCATCAGAGAAAGTGTACACATTGTACAATAACAGTGATCACCAACAAGGATAGCTACAACATACACACATATTCCGCTCTAGGTGGTGTTAAGGCTTTTAATCGACAGGGGGACAACAGAATGTTTGGTGCCTGCTCAGAGGGATCCTGTACAGTCTGCCTGAGAAAAAGAGCCGATACTCAGGGTGGAGAACATGAGTTGTCTGATTTGTTGAAAAATAGCCCAGGTACTGGGATGTTGAATCTGCTGTCTGTATAAATCGGGTGATTGACAGAAGCTGCACTTCCTGGTTCACACTGAAGGATCTGAGCATTCTCATTAAGTGCTGCACCCTGGAGCACACATCCTCCACATGGACTTTCCACACCAATTTGTAATCCATGATTTTGACTCCCAGGTATCTGCAGGAGTGCACCTGCGCCATGATATAGTCATGGATGACCACTGGTCATTGAAGTAAGTAGTTAAATGCAACAAAAGGGTAGCAATTTTAAGGCACCAATCACAATTATCACCACTAAAACATGTACGAATCACAAGTTTCCTAAAATTGTTGCCAGTGTGTCAACTATAATCTAGGACTGAGAGAAAGGTCTAAAAGCTCAACGTCCTCTTCTGTGTCATTCCTGTTTATTAATCAACTCCCTGCAATGTTCTGATACCGGATTGTTGTTTTATTGAAGCATTAATCATCTCATAGGCTGCCCCAGGATCACTCACTTGAATAGTCAAATAATCAGAATTTATCATCAGTTGAAGGTAAAGGTCTTCTGGATGGGCCTCCATCCGGCCTGGCACATGGCAATCATGTCCTCTTATAAAACAGGTGCTTTGTGGGGTCAATCAAGGCTGTTGCATCATTACAAAACACTGTCTGGAGGCCATCCATGGTTGACCTGGTACAGAGAAAACCTGGGGAGATTTAGCAAACTTACATTGTGTGCTTTTGGCAAAGGCAAATAATGATGGAAAGTGACCAATGACGCATGTTTGTTGTATGACAAACAAACATGTGCTTTGGTCGTGAGTGAAATAGAGGCTGGAACTTAGAGAAACTGTCTATGAGTGAAAGCAGTGAAATCCACTGTAGTAGAGAATTTGCATTTTAAACAAAAATGCCACACGAATGCCTGTGTAATTCATTTTAGATGAGTAGATATTACTATTGTCTTATTGTAGCTGAACTGATTAATTTCCCTGGCTCACTGCAGACTCTTTCTATCATTTTTATTCTTAAAAAAACACTTTTAATGACTTTACTGTCCACATGCTTTTGCATATCCAGACTCATTACAGTGTATTTTTATATCAACAAAACATAAAGTTAGTAGTATGTAAAGTAGTAATTGTTGTGTTTTTGTTACGTCACAATGAGCCATTTTAATCTACAGAGGGACCAGGTCTTCTTCTATGGAGGCCACCATGTTGAACCTCCATGTTTCTACAGTAGCCCAGAACGGTCAAACCAAACGCTGGTTCTAGATATGGCCTTTTGCGTTTTTCGAGAGGATGACTGAGCTGTATTCAAATGGTCGCCATCTACAACTTCACTGCCAGATGCCACTGATCCTACAGCTCGTACAATACTAAGGAACAGATTAATGTGCATTTTAGCTCAAACGCGCTCTTATCTGGTCAGTGACTGAGTTTGGAACTGTCTAGCTAGCAATGTGCTGACACATACGTAACGTGGGCACAGACGTAAGGGAGATATCTGGAACTTTAATACTCTTATCAGGGCACCATTAACATAATCTATTTGGTGGTCAAGGTGATGGCCAATCAATATTTTCCTCGAACCAAAGTACAGATGGAGACACGCATTAGTTTGCTTGCCAGGCTGAAGCCAGACAGGGCTTATCTGTTAATAAATTGCTGCATTTCTCTAATCACTGTAATGTACTTTTATGTGACTATCAATGAATCATTAGGGGTTATTAGCCAACATTGATTGAATATTAATAAGAGGTACTGAAGCGAAGTGAAAGTGTTTACACCCAGCCTCCCACACCATAAGACACATGTATCAGTTTTTATTTTGGTGTTTGACACTGAAGCTTTTGCACAGGTCTACCAATCAAGCTATATACATTTTATGTGCTTGTTACATTC